AAAAAGAAGTGTTTCCCGCGTTTTCAATTTTTTCAAGTTTTACACTGAAAACGCTCAAAACGACAAAAAAGTGGTTTTGTGTTTTCTTCACAAATTTTTTTTCGTTTTCGAAAATTCGTTTTCGAAAACGAGAAAGAGAACACGTTTTCACCGTTTTGAAAAATCGAAAACAGAAAACGATCCGAAAACGATAAAGAGAACAGGGCCTAAAGTTTTTGGAAAAAGGATAACGTGCGATTTAAAAAAAAAAAAAAGGGGTAATTTATATATATCCAAGGTCGGAGTCAATTCCACATTAATTAATGCCCACTTTTTCTGCTTTGTAATTTGTGAAAGAATTGGAGCCATGGCCCATGCTTTCTTGTCGTGTTTCTTTGGGATTTCAATGAATAAAGCCAAACTGAGTTGCTGTGGAAATTGGAGTATGATATTTTGATAATGACTTTATGCAATTTGCTACCAAGAATTTGATGTCTATAACAAAAATGTCAAACTTGTGAGGTGGATATGATCTGTACATTTATTATCTTTATCCACTTCCATTAAACAAATACAAGTTTTCACATATATAAGTAACTTATTTACAATTTTTTTCATAGAGGACCATGATTACAAGACAACATGCCAAGTGTTTGTTTGGTTTAGCTAAAAAGTTGATAAAAACTTAAATCAAAATTAATAATTAATTTTGAGAATGTATTATAAAATAGTAGATTGATAAAAAATACGTGATTAAAAAATAAGAAAAGAATTTAAATTTACGTCTAATATTATTTTATTGGATAATGTATGGTTGAAAAGAATATAGAAAAAAATATATTTTGAAAATAATGAAAATCAAACTAGGGCTTAATAATATATTTATTGAGCTCATAACTTTTATCTACTTTTCAATGACATATTTTACCTACTTTTATCAAAATTTATCAAAAATTTGAATTTTATTAAAACCAAATATGGGCTAAAAGATAAAGAGAGACTAAAATTATGATTAAATTTGTACTTTTTAGAAATTGAGTGTTTCGAATCTTTCTAAAACAACAAATTGAAATAATCCATTGATATCGTTTGAATACTTTTGCTCAGCAGATTTCTCAAAAAAAAAATAATAATAATAAATAATAAAAATATATAAATAAAATTAAGAGAGGTCGTGCTTGGAAGGCAAGTGGGAACTTGGAAGGCAAGGATTATTCTTGGAAGGCAAGGTGTAACTTGGATTGGCTTGCTTGGCACTTTGTCAGACCAGGTGGGGAGCCCTCGGACCCTGGCCAGTTGGAGGCACATCCTGCGATTAACCGGACTGTGTGAAGAGGGGCCGGATCACAGACCCAAGGATTAGTCTAGAATAGGACACCTTGTAAAAAAAAAAAAAAAAAAAAAAGGAGGGAAATCTTGTCCCAATAATCTACAAAACTTGCTCGATTCGGATCCCGAGAAAAATAGTGACATGTTTGGTACATAAGACTTATATGACTAAACAATATTAAAAATTAAAATTTAATCCTTTTAAATTCAGGATACCAAACATGAAAAACCAAACCTACTTGAACAAGTTAAGAAGCTTTGGTTCACTTGCCTGCTGATCTCCACAAACAGTCGTCACAGATTCTTCAGAATTCATTGGACTTCCGAGCCGCCGTTTCTCCGGCAAAGCTCTAATTTTCTCGCTCCAAACACTAGGCATTAAACTGATATCAAGATCAGCTAATTGACTAATCTTGGAAGGTTCATCTGGCAAACGGTGGCGGTTTAGTACCTTGGATCTTGAATTCAGGCCCGGATCTTGGAGATTGTACATATCAGTACAGTCCACCGAATCACCGTTGGTAAACTCCGGGATTGGCCTCAACGCGCCACCACAAAGGACGGTCTGCACCGCCTCCTGGCAAACGTGCCAATTCCCTGTCCATAAAAGCCCGACTGCACCATTCACAGGGTTCACCGTTCTTCCAGCGGCTTCAAATAGCAAGGATCGGAAAACAGCTACAGATATCATATACACACAAATTTCAGTTTACTTCAAATTCATAATTTAAACAAATAAGGCGTGTCCAACAGAGACTCTGTAATTTACCGGGCCTTTGGTTTTCCGGCACCGCAGAGATGAAGGACATGAGGCCAGCGCGGCCGAAGAACTTGGCTACAAATACGGTGGCGTGGCCTTGAGCTGCAGAGCTTTCAATCCACTGCAAACAAGGCCTCAAAATACAGTTCTCACTGCATCCCTTTCGAAGAACTCGGCATCCATTGCAACTCATCTCTTTCTCTTTCCGCTATTATATATCAGTATTTCTTGGGATCAACTCAAAACTTTTAGGTGAAATTAAGAAGAAAAGCAATAGAGAAATGAGACTGATAAGTGATAAGGGATGCTTGGAAAGGAGAATGAAGGGTGCATATATAAAGATGATGAGTGAGGATGAAGTTTTTCTGGTTAACTATAGAGTTAGGTTAGTTGGAGTGGGTTGGGTTAGATTCCAAAGTACTGGGCAATAGCGGCTCCGGGTTTCCGCGGAGGGTGTCTATCAACCGTTGGATTTCTTTGCGGCTCTCGGATAACCTATGACTTGTCTTTTTTTCTTTTCTTTTTTTCTCCTTATTATTATTTTTTTTTTGGGCACTACTATTCATCATCTGTGATGATCATCATGAGTTTAACTAATAGTAAATCCCCTTAGCTTATTGTCTAGTAAATTTACTAGACTCGCTATTACGTAGATAGGTGATGGATGGTAAATCTACAAGACTCACGATTATGTAGATAGGTGACAGATAGCATTATCCTTTTGACTTTTACTTCCTACAAATTGGATATTTTTGTATTTTTTTGCATTAGCAAATTTGATTTTTAGTATCTGATGTATCATTATATTGTATATACAAGTGTATATATATTATCTATATGACATGATTACTACATAGAATTAAACAAGTATAAATAGATCTATATCTATATTTATAATATATTAAATATAACCTTAATTTTAATTTAATTTAATTTTTGTTATAGGATCATTTATAACCGCACATTCACACGATAAAAATATTCTATAAATAAATTCATAACTTTTTTATCATTTTCAATTACACATTTTTCAAAAAATACAACTCAAAACTATGTTTTTAAATTTTTAAGGCCACTAAACAGGGTTAAATGAGAATCATTTTGTGGGCGAATCCATCCTTACTATAATTCAATTATTCAACAATATCTTACTTTTTTTTAAATATGTATTTAATTATTTCGATAATATCCTACTTTTCATTTTTCAATATGTATTTAATTTATTAATCATCTAAACCATTTGAACAATATTATCATTAATTATTTTTCAATTATTTAGTTATGATGAATGTATGTTTGACACATTCATTACTTTACTTTTTATTTTTTAATATTTATTTAATGTATTTAATTATTTGAACAATATTATCATGAATTATTTTATCAATTGTTTAGTTATGATCAATTTATATTTAACAAATTCATTCTACTTGATTGGATAGTAAATTAAATTCATTAAAAAATTATTAAAGTTGGTGAAATATGTGGTTGAAAGTTCATGAATTCCATAAAATATTTGGTAAAACTAATTGCTAATTTTCGTTTAGATTAAATCTAAATTTTAATTCATACCAAATAAAAGTTAAATAGCTAAGATGTTGAAAATTATTAATTTTTAGACATAAATTCAAAATCTATCTTGCAAATTATGTTCTTGATCATAATAATAGATTATTAAGCCTCCATTTGACAATTTTTATAAATAATTTATAAATGATTAAATTTCATTTTCAATCATACATTTCAATGAACTCAAAAATACTATCTATTTATCTACCATTTATTTTTATCTATTTATAAATTAAACCATTTATAAATTATTTCCAAAGGGCAGCTAATTTAAGTCAATTTTTAAATAATTTTTGGCCCGAAAAAGAAAAATGGTTAACATACATTAAAGCATCATGACACCAAATGGATAGAATAGTTTGTTGTGTAATTATGAATTTTTGAACACGAATAAGATCAAGACAACTTAAGGTTGCGTAAAAATAAGGAAATCTAAGATAGATTGACAACAAAATCAAGTCGGCGTATGAGATAGGATGTCAACATAGTGCCACGTGATATATTACACGTACAAAATAGTACTAATTTTTCTTGTAAGGTTGTTAAAAATATTTGTAATACTTGCTAAGCATTGCTGATAACATCAATTTTAGCAACGAGTGCCATCATTTTGGAATACTACGTTAACTATTTGAAATGAAGTGATTTGTGTAACGACTTTTTGTACTGCACTTGGTTTATACATTTTCTTACTATACTCTGTATGCGTCAGTCGAACAAGTTGTGCACAGAGTAGAACCATCCCTAGATGTTCCATCAATAAAGAAGAAAGATCTAGTCTTTTGGAGCCAATAATTCTAGATGTCAAGATGGAGTTGTTGGAGAAATTGTTATCATCAAATAACTAGATCTATCATGTTGGATCACCAAGAATTTATGAATCAAAGCGAAAGTATAACTGAATCAAACATTGTTAATTGCAACGATTGAATCATGCAGTTATGTCTTCCAAATCAACACATGGCTCATTTTTCTCTCTGGTGATGGGATGCAGGACAGAATGAACAATGCATGTGATTTGAGGACCATAACCATGATTATATAATGATTGTCTGTTAACCTAATTTGACCCGTCATGGAATTAGGAACAATGACTTGGTCTCTACACATAAAAGCCCATAGGGACGGATTTGGGATGGGGTGGGGGGGACTAGTTGGGTTGTAGTCCCCCCTCACTTGGTCCAATTAAAATTTTTTTAGGGTAATTTTCTTTATTTTTTTTGTAAAAATGATTTTTAATGAGTAATTTCTTTTTTTTCATGTATTAGCCCGATTTGAAATTTTTTTAGTCCGATCTTAAATTCAAACATGGATCCATCACTGAAAGCCCATACTCATATTAGATGCATTAAAGTTCAAAATATCGAAACTTTATTAGATCACTTTAAATGGACTTAACCAAATTTAATAGCATTTAATTTAATAAAAAATAATTCACATATAAACCCACACAATTGATTAAAATTCCTTACAGAAGTTCTATGAGCAAAAGCTTCCCCTTTACATCCGAGGTGATCCCGATATATCCCATTTGCAGAGGTAAGAACTGGAGAAGCATTCGGGCTTGAAATGGTGGATTTTGGGGTAGATTGCTTAACACGACTACACTGCTGAAGACGTCAAGTGAGTTTTTCATCTATTTGCTTTCATTTAAATTACTCACATCTGATTGAATTGTTAAAATTGGAAGAAAGAGGAAATTTTAAATCATAGGTCGTGGATCCTCAAGGGCTTATAAGAAATATTCAGATTGGTTTATGAATGATAAGTGGATCTAAAAATTTAGACTTTTAATAGTTTTTTTAATCAATTATAGCCTAATTTATTGTATATTTCATTTATTAGGTAAAACTTGATAATTGGAAGTAAAATTGCAAGAAAGAAACAAAAAAGGGGGCGAAAATGATGAAGTCCAAAGTTTGAGGACCAAATTATAAATATTCAATAGTTGTTTCGGGCTACAATACGATACGTGGAAGATTGTTAGGAGAAAGTGGACAACTAGTAGTCAAAATGGAATGGAATATGATCAAAATATTATCACAAATCAATTTCTATCGCATAAGTTATATTCCAGAATTTTAACCGAAAATCGAAACCCATTTTTTCCATAGTAAATGTTCAAATTGAAAAACTTATAATTTTAGCAAAGTTGTAGCCCTGTGAGATAGTTTTCCAACATGTTTTGAATTGCCTCAATCAAATATCGAAAGAGAAAATAATGACCAAAATACTGACTGCTGTGCAGAGACAAAAACATGCGTGCACGAATATAACTTTCTTTATTCGATTGGAACTTTTTTGAAAACCAATTTGGACATGGTTTTCAATCAATTTTTGACTCCTACAAATACCTAGCAAAACACATATTAGACACCTTTTATATACATATTATTCTCCATTATTCATCAATTATTATAATCAAATGAACAAAAATTCATAATTTTTGCAAGAGAACTGAAATAGACTTACAAGAATTCAATAAACTAAAGACTCAAACTTGATTTTTGGACAAATAAAAGAAGGCCCAAACGTAGATTCATTAAGAAACTATGGAAAAGATTCAAGATCTCAAAACTCAACTCCATTTCTTTAATTTATCAAAAATTCGGGTTGTCTTTCCACTTGAATATGATTTCTTGTAATTTTGCTATGCTAGGCTAAATTTATAATTGTTAAGATGTAAATGAGCCATTGCTATGAAAATTTTAATATAAAATAAGTATTTTGACGTCCAATATGGGTGAATTCATGGATGGTTGTTATTGAATTTTAATGCATTCTCAATTACTTGATTACTAATTTTCTTAAATGTGAATATTATTGATTTCAAGAAATATAATAGAATAGATGGCACTAATAACAATTGTTGTAAAGTCCGATGGGAAATAAAGATATACCGTTATGCTTTGTATGATTTTTATAGATGTTCTAGCATTTTTAATGCGTATTTTTTGTTCGTAACTTTCATATGGATAAAGAAATGTCACATAAAAGGATATATTTAATTGACATTGAAATATACTTTTAATTAACTTAGAAACATTGATCAACATAAATAAGTACATATTATCATGATAATTGTATTAAAAATGGATTAACAAGTGAGATTCGAAGTCTTAGCATTCATCTCACATATTTGACAAAAACCTTCATAATTAGCTTAGTTAATATAATTAGACCATTTAATATAAATACTCAAACCAATTTGGCTATTCAATTACGCTTGAAATTAATTGACACTAGATTAAATACATAAACCTTCGTGGGTTCAACGCTCTATTCACTACTTTATTACTTGTTCACGATCGTTCACTTGCGGGAAATCAAACGATCAATGAACATAAAATTTGCAAGCTTTGTTCCATTCAATTAGTTGCCTCTATAAGCGACTACAGGTTCCTAGATTGTGCAGTATGTAGGAGACCATTCCGTAAACGAGTCATTTTGGCTGTTGAGAAGAGGGAGTTCAAGTGGACAAAATGTGTACTAACCTTTTCTTTTCCCATGTTTAAGAGCAAGGAAGCTAAGATCCCAAAATTCTTGTGTGATTGCCACTTACTACGAGGAATTGATTTTCAATTCAGAGAGCAAATGCATGGTATTTGCTACTGAATTCTCAAGCTATTCTAGCCAAACAAATATAGAAAACTTGAAAAGTAAAATTGCAGATTGTACAGAAAAATAAAAGATGGTTTTGGTGCAATCAATTAAGTGTCTAATTTTATAGGAAAATGGTCGTTGAACAGGGTTAAAAATAGGGAAAGTGTGGACAGACTGAATT